CCATTGTGTCCCTCTGTTATTGTTTGTAAAGGAGGTTAAACAGTATATTAACTTCTGAGTAGTGATTTACTGTTGCTTTTGTCAGAGAAAAATAAAAAAGAAGTAAAATAATATAATTTGATATTGCCTTTGAGACTTTTCAGTTTGTGGAAGTCTTTATTTCCTACTCAATTTTATTTTATTTTTTTAAATCACACATGTAGTGTAAATACAGCATCACACAAATGCAAAGTTGTTCTTTTTTTCCTGGATTAAGCTGTTGTGTAATATTGCTCTGTAACCATTAAGCAGCTGCTCTGCTTCAGAGATGCTCATATTTCCTTTGGTAGTCGAAGGGAATTTGCTATATGAATATCTCCAAATTGCTTTAAGATCTTTAGCTGTTGTATCAGCGATTTAGATTTACAGTGATCAATGTAACATGTGAAAAACATGTTCCTGAAAGGCCCCAGTCATACAGATGAGAGGTTATGTTAGCAGCAAATGACCTGACATTTCGCTGAATCTCACCCTCTATCCTACTGCAGGGCTCCTGACCCATTGCAAAACTCTTCCAGTCATTTTGCCAGAGTCCTGTTGTCTTCTGTATGCTAATGAGTAAGCACTAGTAGGTATCCAAGTACTATCTTAAGTATCCAAGTACTATTTCATCCATGATTTCTTTTTCACTCTGCCATGTCTTGGGTAATGCCTGTCCATTGCAAAGGCTGTGCTGCCTGCAGAGATGCATGAAGGTGGCAGCCATCTGCTTCAGGTGCGTCTCCCAGGCTACCCACCTTACCTGATTCCCACCTGTCCCTGTTCCTGTAGGTACATGGTTAATAGGCATTACCACTTATCCTCAAGAACACTTCCTCCACTAAAGTCTCAGTGGGCTTCATGCAGGAGTAGAGCCCAATGGGACCTGTGTAGTTTTATTCATTTTATCTAGTAGGTTCCAAAGAAGTTCTGATATATTTCCAATGCTTTTCATAGTTTCAGTAAAATACCTCTTTCCATTGTTTTTGTAGATTCCAATTTCCTAGGACCTGGGAAATTGGTGGTAGACAAAGGGAATTTACTATATGAATATCTCCAAATTGCTTTAAGATCTTTAGCTGTTGTATCAGCAATTTAGATTTACAGTGGTCTATGTAACATGTGAAAAACATGTTCAGGGTAGTAGAAAAACAGGGTCGTGCAGTGTCCAGGGTAGTGGAGAAACACCCTGCTACATTCTGAATTGTCTCCTTTTTTCCTGTGCGATAGTCATTGTTTTGTATATGTTTGACTGCCTGACTGTCTTTCCACTGGTAGAATTGGCCTTCAGCTGGCTCATCCCTTCTTCATGATTTGGCTTCCAGCAGGCTCACACCCCACTCCATCTTAATGGTCACGACTTAGGAGCAAATGGCTCTATGACTCCTCATTGGAGTAATAAGGAGATGAACTTCAGATTATACATACATATTGCAATGTTATATATTACATCTGATATAGTTTATGTAAATACATTGAAATGTTCATCACTTATTCATCGATTTAGTTAACAAGTATTTTTGGATTCTTACATTTAAATACTTTCAGTTCTTTGATTGTTACTTTGTATTAAATGCCTGATGTTACACATTAGTACACAGCAAAGTCGGAAATATAATCTGACCCTAATCATTATTCTTTCTTATTTTACCCAAAAGCCTAAATACACTCTTCAGCAAACAAGTTCTAGGGAATAACAAGGGTTAGTATAATTATCCATAAATCTTAAACCGTCTGTATCTACATTGTAATACAATGACTAAGATGTTAATGTGTGACCCTGTTTTTAAAGTTGAATTTTAAAATTTTGTTCTTACTCTCTATATAGGCAATGAGTTAGTGCTTACTCTGTATATAGGCAATGAGTTAGTCATTAAGGAAGATACAGAGATGAACAAAACACAGTCACTCCCCTAAATAAAGGAGCTGGTAATCCAGCAATGACTGCGAGACTTGAAAACAGATCTCTCAGAAAAGCTGAAAGTACAAAGAATAAAAGTAGTACAAACTAGGTGCTATGCAAGTACAGAGGAGAGAGATTTCTGGCTGGGCCAGTGGGTGGGAGAAGGAGGTGGAGGGGCAGTTTATGGAGTGGGTGGTGGTAGGGCTGGACTTTGAAGGATGAGTCTAGAGTGTGTAGAAAGAGGGCCATCTCATCGCAGGGAGCTGCAGGAGGAAGATATGAAGGTATGCATTTACAGAGTCCAATTGCGTGGTAACAAATAATCCTGTGTGACTGGTTAAGTATATGAGCTGCAGTCATGTATTTTTTTTTTTTTTGAGTTGGAGCCTCCCTCTGTTGCCCAGGCTGGAGTGCAGTGGCGCGATATCTCAGCTCACTGCAACCTCCGCCTCCTGGGTTCAAGTGATTCTCCTGCCTCCACCTCATGGGTAGCTGGGAATACAGGTGCCTGCCCCATTGTATTTTCAGTAGAGATGGAGTTTCACCATATTGGCCAGGCTGGTCTCGAACTTCTGACCTTGTGATCCGCCCGCCTCAGCCTCCCAAGATAAATAAGGTTTTCATACTTAATGTATTTACTTGATTAAGTTTATTATATATAAAATAATGTATAAAGAACTGTACTTTAAACAACAACAAAAGCAACAAACATCTTTCTTTTTTTTTTTTTTTTTGAGATGGAGTTTCGCTCTTGTTACCCAGGCTGGAGTACAACAGTGTGATCTCGGCTCGCCGCAACCTCCACCTCCTGGGTTCAGGCAATTCTCCTGCCTCAGCCTCCTGAGTAGCTGGGAGCACAGGCATGCACCACCATGCCCAGCTAATTTTTTGTATTTTTAGTAGAGATGGGGTTTCACCATGTTGACCAGGATGGTCTTGATCTGTTGACCTTGTGATCCAGCCGCCTCGGCCTCCCAAAGTGCTCGGATTATAGGCTTGAGCCACTGTGCCCGGCCAACAAACATCTTTCTATATGATGGTAACTTACAGTGGTCAAGAAGAGTCAAAACATCTCTTTCCCCAACCAGGCAAGACAGTCAATGTCCTTTTTCTTATTCATGACTTTTAGCACCTTGTACAGTGCTTGTTATATAGAGGTTTCTCAATAATTACTGAAATGAATTTAACCTGGTAAAAATTAATTATTCTTAGCCGGGCATGGTATGGCACACCTGTAATCCCAGCTACTCAGGAGGCTGAGGCAGGAGAATCACTTGAACCTCGGAGGCAGAGGTCGCAGTGAGCTGAGATCATGCCAGTGCATGCCAGCCTGGGTGGCAGAGCAACACTCCATCTCAAAAAAAAAAAAATTAATTGCTCAAGAAATAAGAGTTTCTTAAAATAGAAGTGCATTAAATGGGGACATTTTGTTATAATACTCTTAAAAATGTGTATGTATTTTTTAGAAGAATGACTTAATGTGACACCTGTTTTATCCCCAACTGAGATCTTACAACTTCCTCTCACACTCCTTCTTTTATTCTGTTTCTGAAGAAGGTGGGTGGGTGGATGTCAAACATTGATGGCTCCTCAGTTCACAGCAGTGAAACACAGATGCTAATTGAATGACTTTCTGTCTTTTCGTGCTATGTATGCTTGAAAAGCAGTGTGGTGACATTTGTTCTGGTAAATTTTCTGAATAAAGATTTATGAAGCATTTTGAACTGTCGGGAGGCCAGTGTGCATAATTCGGTGTGTAGCTGATGGCTGGTTCCCCTGGCCAATCTTAATTTATTGGTAGCATTTAACCAGTGCTTATCATGGGGTTTATATATTTATCTCCCTTAGTTTTCCTAACAACTCTATAAGATAGGCGATTTTTCTTGTCTCTAATTTGCAAGTGAGGAATCTGAGGCAGAAAGAGGACTAATAACCTAGCCAAGATTTTATTACTGGTAATCTGTGTCTAGAATTCAAACCCCAGCTCTTTGACCTCAGTGCTCCAGGTTGCTACACTACCCATGCCTCACATCTCTGAACTGAATCTAATTCCTTGATCAGCCTAAAGCTTTAGGTAAAATCAAGTCAAATTGCCAGTTCTTAGAATCTAGTTTTGCTTGTTTGTTTCTCAGAGGTATTTCAGTTCTGAGGATTTTCAAACTTATTCTCTCCTAGGACAGGAGCAAGTAGGCCATAACATCCCTCCCTAACGTATTCTCTCTCTCCTCACACTCATTACACCCCCTTAACATAAGTGAGAATGGAGTGGGCTGAGTGCTGCAGGGTTACTGCTGTTTATGGGAATTCTCATCTCTAGTTTTGGACATAGTTAAACTAGTTAGCAAGCAGGCTCCACGGCCCCCGTGGACTCTGCCCAGGTGTCACTTGGCATTCCCAGAGGCCTGGATTCACCACTGTTTGCCAAAAAAAGTGACCAATTCTTGAAATAAAAGGAGTCCAGTGGAATAGTAGCAAGGGCGAGGAAAGCAGTGAAATTGTGCAATGTATATTAAAGATGTCCAGAAATAGGTCAATGCAAAGTTCTGTATTTGCTGTATATACAAGTTCCACTTTCTGTGTTATTAGTGACCCTGAAACAAGGGTGGGAGTGCTGGTAACAGCAGCTCACTTTCTTTAATCAGGGAAGGTTTTACAAAAGAAACGTGATTTCAAGAGATCTTTGGAGTTATTCCAGTAAGGTGCTAATTGTGGTTGTGGTTTTCCTTTTTCTTTCATTTTTCACTTTAGTTTACCAGGTGCTACTGAGTCAAAAGCATTCACTGAGAGCCCACAGACCATTCTGTATGCATGGGCCATGGCAAATCAAACTGCATGAATAACCCTGTACTTTTAGAAAGGGGAGAAAAGTGTTCCTAAGAGATTATTTGGTGTCTAAACTTTTTACTTTCGTTTAAACCTAATTTGCGTTCGTAAGAGTTCTTCTTTTTAAAGTTCTTATTGTAAGCAAATTTGGTTTTTGTTCAAATCTTTGGCTTTAAAACACTTAAATTCTAGTGTATAATCATTTATTTTGCTTTCTGCCTATGTTGATCATTTTTTCTTTAACGTTTATTTTCAGGATACCTTGAGGATAGTTTTGTAAAATCTGGAGTCTTCAATGTATCAGAACTTGTAAGGGTATCCAGAAGTAAGTAAATTCTTTTCTGACTACTTAAGCATGAAGTATGATTTAAAATACTTTTTATATTTTTATCCTTAAATATCATATAAAGAGTGACTACATATTAAAAATTTTGACTTTTAAAATCTTAAAACTTTTGATGAAATCATAACGGAATATCAAATCATCAAAATTTTGTTGTTTAAAAATAATTTTTGGGTTTTTCTGATTGCCATGTTATTGGTATTCATTTAATTCACTGTTCTCTGTATGACTGTAGATGGTCATTTATATCAAAGGAAGTGTGATTAATTAAATGTACCCTATGTTGTTATGATAACCCACATAAGTTTCCTGTAGATAAGTGCTTTTTCATTTTACTAACATTTTGGTGGGGGTTGGAGATGTACAGGATATACACACTAACGTGCAGAGTGTAAAGGGATGCAGAAATTAACTTTGCAGATTGGAGTTGGATATAGACAGAAAGCATTGTTATCCAAAACAATGTCCAATTGTTTTAACTGGCCACTTCACCTGAGACACCGTTCTTGGCAGGCTGGATCAGATTTTTCTAGGGTAAGCTCACCTGGCAGGCTACCTAAGCAAAGGGGACATTACCTTGATTAACTCTTTAACTTATTACTAGCATGTACAAACATAGCCAAGATGTACATCTGTATGTACTAATTATGTTAAAGGAGGTGACTCTTTTCTTCATGCCCCCTTCACTGATTTAGCTTATTTACGTAACTTTGAAGGGTATGTTTTCACCTGACATTTTGAGAGAATGCATCACCTTGGAACTATGTTATTCAGATGATGTAGTCACATTCTGATACTTGCCTAAGTTGTGTTTTTCATTTAGGTCAAATTTAGAGGTCATAATAAGAATCATGATGATCCAGAAAGAACAAAGAGTGAGTTACTGAGGATAAGAATAAGCAGTGTTTTAGAGTCTTGTTCAGTAAAGGAATCTCGAAGTGATCAAGTGATCACTGACTATCTTTTCAATCACAGTTCCTCAGACAGCTTGCATTTCTAAAGTGAGCAGTGCAAATAGCACGTATATCAGGGAGTGATATACATGAACATTTAAGACCCCGTAAGTAGTTTACCCTTTCTGGTATAATTCTGGAGTAGATAAAGGTATGCCCAAAAGACTTCTCTCATGGGTCTTTTACTTGGTGGCAGTAGGAGAAGAAACACAAATATCCTGTGTTCCGTTAGCCTCAGGGTATGTATTTGATGGGCAAGGAGATTACCCAAGGAAATGCGCCTTAATGTGTTTTTCCAGATCAATATGTGATATCCAAAGATATCCAACATTTGCAAGTTATCACTTTTAATTTGGGAAGAAATATGCCTGAGTCATCAGTAGCACTTTGTAGCCAGGTAAGAGAGGGGATATCTGGAAGGGTGTATTTGTTTTCCCCATACGGTTCTTTAGCAGAAAGGCTTATGAACTTATTTGCTTAAATTTGTACTTCTCTGAGTTCAAGGTCAGTGGTGTATTTTCATCCATCTTAGGAGAAGGGCTGTAGAGTCAGCTGTCAGAAAATATTTATTTAGTACCTCATTATAGGTAATATTATGCTAAGGGCTGTCAAAGGAGAACCACATGAGAACCTTCAAAAGCCCAGACAGATATTTTGAAAAAATCTGAATTTCAAACATTAAAAAATGATGAAAATTATCTTTCTAGAATAGTTCAAAACAAAGGTAAATTTAATATATGTCATTCATTCATTCATTCTCAACTGATAAGTCGTATCTTACAGGTTTTTAGGTTATTTGTTATAACCAACATTACTGATTTGTAATTAGCACATTAATTATATTCATTAGGTAATTTATTCACCAAACATTTATTTTCTCCTCCATATGTAAATATGTGTCTCTGAAATGCCTGAGAAGTTATCCTCCTAAGTGTTTTAATATATCCACATCATAATCTTGTTTGCACCATTCAACTTTCTTATTTATGAAATAAGGGTTTGCTAAGTAAACATGAACTTGAGCACAAACTTACATGTGTATCACAAATTCTGGCTTGAGGGTTCACAGTATGCTGGCGGTTTCAGTCCTCTAGAGTTTTACAATCATAAGACCTACCGATGTGTATGTTGACTTTAGCTAATGAAGCTATTCAGCATTAGGATAGAGATCTCCCTGTTGAATGACATTATCTCCATCTTAAAAGTTGATTTAGGATCAGCTTTTGGAGTGAGGAGAACAATAAGAGAGATTAAAGTTTGGCCTCTAACCCTTAGAATCTGAGGTTCTTTGGTGCTGCGTTTCTAAGAGGATATCAGCAACCTCTTAAACATGATTTGCAGCTTTCAGCCATCTTGTGGCTCCCTGGGAGAGGCGCTAACACTGATCTTTGCATCTGATGTAAGTTTTTCCAGAGGCTCTTAAGCAGCAATATCTGACTGAGACTTGCTGTTCTCACACACTCTCTTTGTCATTAAATAATTTCTGTACTTTGGCCATGTTTATTGTTAATCTACTTTCTTCCACATTTACTGTCAGAATGAATACTAAATTGTTACAGTGTTCATGCATCAATCTGTAGACTATTTTATTGCTATCTTTAAAAAATTAAAACATAATACGTGTGCATATCAATGGAATCCATGGGATCTTTGGATACATGCATACAATGCACAATGATTAAATCAGGGTATTTAGGTTATCTGTAATCTCAAACATTTGTCACTTCTTCGTGTTGGGAATGTTTCAAATCTGTTTTTGCTATTTTGAAATATGCGGTATATTGTTAACTATAGTCACCGTGCTGTGCTATCAAATACTAGAAATTATTCTTTCTATTATAACTCTATGTTTTTACCCATTAACCAATCTCCCTTCGTCTCCCCACCTCCCCACCTCTGACAGCCCCTTCCATGAGATCAAAATTTTAAGCTCCCATGTATGAGTGAGAACATGCAATATTTGTGCTTGTTTGTTTTTTGCTATCTTGACACTCTGGAATAATCCTTCTGGAAGAAAATTTAGAAAAAAATTATTTTTAAAGATTTTCAAATTATCTTTACTACAAATTATATCTATTTATTTATGGCTACACAAACTATGCTAACTATGGAGCCTATTTATTCAATAGAAACTATAAATATTTACCTAAAAATTGCGAGCTTAATAAATTGAAAATAGTTTATATAATGTAGAACCTCTATGTTTCCTGTTAGTAACTCAGACCTATGAATTGTATTTATTACTGTGATGTTTCCTGTTAGTAACTCAGGTCTATGAATTGTATGTATTACTGTGATAAGAAGCCAGACAGATTGTTTTCTTCACTTGAGCCCCTGAAATGCCTCCTTCTAGCATGTAGCCCGCTTCCAGTGTCCCATAGAACATGGCTCTAATAATAAATTTTAAAACATGTGGTTACTGTGGGATTTCTTACCTCACATTTTTTTAAACCTTTGGTGTACCTCAAGCCACAACATCATAGTTGTCCAAATAGCTACATTTATTTGTCCAAATAATTCAAGCCCTCAGGCATAGTTGCTCATTGAATACACATATTTTCTATGTAAAGGATATTACAGTGTATTATAAAACATGAACAGTCTATCAGAAGGCAGACAGATACTCCAGAAGTTTGGAGCTGATACTAATCATGTACATACTGATGTATTTCATTTTCAGTCAGGAAAGAGAAATGTTCATGGTCTATTCCTTGATCACTTCTCTGTGATAAAGCTTGTGCCTCCTAATTGTACTTTCTTAAAAATACTTTAAGTTAATCTTAGCCTGCCTAATATTAAAATAGAATTCAAGGAATAGTGAACACATTTAGAATATTCATTATAAATTATGGGTAAGAAAACTTTAATAAATTTGCAGGCCCTTTAAAATTTTATACTCCACTTGAGACCGTTAGGAGGGAGGAGGAGATTAAGTAGGCCATGTGTCCTTAGAGTGAATCTCAGGGGCTCTAGAATTTTGTTGCAAAGCCTCAGAGTACACTTTCATTTGAGCTTTTGAAGGGCTGATTAAGACAGGTGAAGAAATAGAAACTATTCTTAAGCAATGTTCTTTGACACCAACCTGCCTGGTCTCCACTTTGCACATGATCTCTACCCATGATTTTGCTTCCGCAGCAGTCCCTGTTTAGAATGACCTCCCTCTCATCTCTTATTCATTCTCTAAAGTCCAGTGCCAGCTATGGCTTGTCACAGACTTCTTGGACAATTCAAGTTGGTATTGGATTTTTTTCCCCTTGAAATCCTACAGCAGTTATGGATCATGTCATTCATTTGGACAGTTTCGTTGTCATCTGTTTTGGTATTTATATGTTTTACATGAATGTTTTATTTACCCAGCTTCTTGCCCAATATTTTTGTTAAGGGCAGTATATCAGACTATTTTGTACCCATTGCAGCCAATACCTGCCAGCAATGGACATAGCCAGTAATCAAATTAACAAATTTTTAGCAAACAGGTTCATTTATACTTCTTCCTCTGCTTTTAACGCATTTTGAACTGTTCATCTTTGCTAACCAGTCCAGTCTATCAGGGAAGAAATTTAGAGGAGAAAGCAAAGAAGGAAGGGAACTCATAATCGTTGAGCACCTATTGTACACTAGGCACGATTCTGGGCCCTTACCACTACCTACTTAATTTCATCCTCAACATAATTGTAATGTGCCAGGTTATTATTATTCCCACTTTACAGTGAGGAAACTGAGGCACATAGCTTATAAGTACAGAGGGAAGTTAAACTTAAAGGCTATTTATTTCAAGACTGCTGATTCTAACATAATATGCTGCCTCACAGACTTGTTTATGATATCTAAATTTAAATTTCAGAGATTTGAACAGATGTCATTGTACAAAAAGCAATGCTTATATACAAAAATTTTAGTTCCTAGTATATTAGCAAATTTTATGTGATTAAAATTATTTATATGTTTTAAATGACTTATAAAGTTGTGGGATAAAATTTAAAAAACATCAACTATTGAGTAAAACCACATTTATCATTTTTATATGAAACCTGACTATATATTTTAGAAACAAACTTGGGTTTTATTCTATATCTGTAAATTTCACTTATATACCTGCCCTACTACAAGAATTATTTAGATGAAATAATTGTTACTATCATGACTTCTAATCCACTCAAATATTAATGTTGGACAGTGACAGGAATCATATATTCTGTTTCCTCCAAGGCATCTATATCTATACACCAGTAGAGTGACAGATGTAATGTCAACTAATTTAAAGGAGTGACTAAAGAAGGTTGAGGAATAGGATTAGGGGAATTGGTAACCAGTGATTATAGTCTGATCGCCTCAAATTTTCAAGCTTGAACGTTGCTAAAGTGAGTAAGTTCTCAAGTCCTACCCAGGGCGTATAATGGCTGTTATAGGATTAAGGTGAAGAAAGTTCTCTCTATCCTTAACCAGAGGCATGGAAGATATTTCATTGTTACATTTCAATAGAGGTCAGAAATATAAATGTCATTCCCAATGTTTCTTTGTCTTATTCCTCAGCGCCCATAACCCAGGGAACTGGAGTCAACTTCCCAATTGGAGAAATCCCAAGCCAACCATACTATCATGACATGAACTCGGGGGTCAATCTTCAGAGGTCGCTGTCTTCTCCACCAAGCAGGTAATTGAAAGAAGGGCTGCTCTTATTCTCAATTGATACACACATAGGTAGGTAGGTGGATGATAGGCAGATAGATTGGTAGGTAGGTAAAGAGAGATGGGAAATAATAGTTTTTGCTGCTAGTACACAGATTTTAATCTTTCCTGATTTTATTTATTTAGCTGTTAAAAATTAAATGTAATTGCTGTACATAGCAGTTTTAAAAATCTTTTTCAGGGGGTTAGGTAACTATGAAAATATACTAATGTGATTTTTATCCTGTTGTATGAAATATTAAAATGCTACCAGTTAACGAAATCTTTGGATGCCTTTAAAAATGATGTTACTGTGGCAGTGATCTCTGGTTTATAACTGATTCTTGGTAACTTTTACCCCAAAAATCCATCTAAGCTTAGGATCATGAAACATAAAAAATAAGATATTTCATTTATGTAGTCTTAAAATTAAAGACCACAGTTTTCCAGGTTCTTCAATTAGTTGATGTTTTTTGACTAATTTAGTCAACTCTCAGTTACGAATGAAAATGTTACCTTTCCTGTTCTGTGAGTTACCAGGAAAAAAAAAATTTCCTTACCTGAGATTTGGTTTTACCAGTCTATTTTGGGGGAAGCTATAGACAGTTCTCTTTGCTTTTAGTTCTCTGTTAACATTCTCATTTTTTCCCCTGCACTTCTCATTGTAATTGTCAGTCAGGGTGAATAAAGATTACAGACGTATTGATTTTATTTTGTTTGTTTGTTTGTTTTTGATCTGGATCTTCAAGACCTATCTCATTCCTAGAGCATTAAATATATAGGTAATCAAATATAAGAGCATACATGAATTCCAGAGCAAAACATTCATTTTACAATGTCAGCTTTTCAAAAATAAAAGAATATCTGCATATTTATTTTCTAAACTACTTTCAATAATAAAAGTCCATTGAATTTGAATTAATTATGCACTGTACATATTTGTATGTTTTTAAATGAAGGTCAATTTTATATCAGTTCTGGTTTTTATATAGTTAAATTATGTAGCAAGATAATTGAGTTTTATCATTAAAATAGTCTCTGACATATTGAAGTCTTAAAAATGCTTTGGTTTTTCTAAATTTAAAATGTGAATAGTAAGTTTTAAAATTTTAACTGCTAAATCAGTATGGATCTTTCTTCATGACTACTCTATATAAGATACTGTCTTTCAGAATAAACAAGGTTTAGAAACATTTCTCTATTACTTCCTTGTGAATGTAATTTGTCTCCCATTTTAAGGTTTTCAGACACATTTTCTGCTGACTCACAGATGAGAGAAGTTAGATTAAAAAGAGAGTTAAATATAAGGTCTAACTTTGGATACTTTGGGAAGAAACTAAGCTTAGCATGGATAGAAATTGCCATCTTCTATATCATATTAATACTCTGAGAATTGTGAGTCAAATATTAAGCATGAGCATCTACACATGTACTCAGACATATGCATCATTCAAGGGCGTGGAAACGCAATGCAGTGGAAAGAGCACAGTTTGGAAGTCGGGTGTCCTTACCTTATGTCTGACTGCTTCCATTAACTAGCCCTGGGCAATCCACTGAATCTCTTCAAATGTGTCTCCCCATTTGTAAAAACAAGGGGATTGGTATATATGTATGATTTTTGAGGCCACTTTCAACACTGCAATTCTGTAACATTATGGTTATTATTGCTACAAAATGTTAATTTCGAATATTTTTAAAAGGTTTTACCAGCATAGGTGTGAATAAGATTTTTTTTTTTAATTAAAGAAAAAATGTTTATTGGGCATAGTGGCTCATACCTGGATTCCCAGAACTTTGGGAGGCCCAGGCAGGAGGATCACTTGAACCTAGGAGTTCAAGACCAGCCTGGATAACTCCATCCCTACAAAAAAAATTGTTTAAGTTAGCAATGCCTGGTGGCATGTGTGTGCGATCCTAACTACTTGGGAGGCTGTGGTTGGAGGATCGTTTGAGTTTGAGGCTGCAGTGAACTGTGATCATGCAACTGCACTCCAGCCTGAATAACAGAGCAAGACCCTGTCTCAAAAACAAACAAAAAAGAAAAAATTCATTTTTATAGGCATAATTTCATAATTATCTGCTTTATAGGATATTGGTGGGGGCATAAGAAAGGAGTATATCAACCAGTATGGATATAAAATAGCTTCTTAATCTTTGTTCTGGTTATTCACCTTTCTTAATCATTGAAATAAGTCATATTTCCATATTAAAATGTATCATTTTGGCTGGGCACAGTGGCTCATGCCTGTAATCCCAACACTTTGGGAGGCTGAAGTGGGAGGATCGCTTGAGCCCAGGCCTTTAAGACCAGCCAGGGCAACATAGCAAAACCCCGTCTCTACAAAAATATAAAAATTTTTATATTTTTGTGGTGTGGTGTGGTGGCAGGCACCTACAGTTCAGGAGGCTCAGGTGGGAGGACTGTTTGAGCCCAGGAGGTGTACTTTGCAGTGAGCCAAGATCAAGCCACACTGTACTACATCCTGGGTGAAAGAGTGAGACCCAGTCTCAAAAAAAAAAAAAAAAAAGGTATCATTTTAAAAGTGTACCATTTAGTTTGAACTTGGCGATTGCCTTCTCTTTTCACAGTTGATTTTAAGAATAAATAATAAAAAATCTAAGTTTGAAGAAAATGGTAAAGAGTAATATATAAAATATTTTAATCAGTAAAATGCTATAAATTTTTTATTATTAATTATAAGGTCGTTACTAAAAATTACTATTCGGTAAGTATCTTCTAAACACCAGCCACTTAACTAAAAGCTTTACATTTAACAACTCGATTTACCCTTCCAACCACTTTCTTTGAACTAGCTTTCATTATTTCCATTTTAGAGATGACTTAACTGAATTTAAGGAGCTTACTATTAAGAATTCATAAGTGGCCTAGTGAAAATATTATACTAGGACTGTCTGACTCCAAAGCTCTTGGTCTACTCTACCCCAATATCTTATCTTTGGATTAATGTGAAAGGATTGCATTATCAATGAAAAGTGCTAATCAAAGGAACATTGTTAGTATTGATAATGATAGTGAGTCAGGTACACACTTAACACAATTTTAATATTAGAAGGTTAACCACAGTAAGAGTTCACTTTTTATTAGTGGAATATTTTTGGAAATACATTTGAAAGGTAAACATAATGAACACCATATTTGTTAGATAAGTTTAGGTATAAGATGGTATAATAAATGGTGTATGCAACTAGAAATATTTGCTATTACTATTGATATCTTGAATACTCACCATTATTTCAAAATGATTCTGAAATACTATTACTTGTGCTTATGAAAATTTCCACAGTAAGGATCTTTTCAGATCATTTACTTTCAATGTACACATCTTCTCAGAAATCCCATTAATATAACTATTGCCATATTTTAACAGCAAAAGACCCAAAACTATATCCATAGATGAAAATATGGAACCAAGTCCTACAGGAGACTTTTACCCCTCTCCAAATTCACCAGCTGCTGGAAGTCGAACATGGCATGAAAGAGATCAAGGTGAGTAATAAGGAGATGCCTCGAGAGTAAAATGTTGGCTCATTTCTTAAGTTTCTTTTAGTCAAATTTTCATAATGAAACCAATATGGATTATATTTTTTAATAAAATGATTCCTGTAGGATTTTTGAGATAATATATGTCAAATGTTGTCAAAATTAATTTATTTAAAATATTATTTTTATGTGTTTCACTGAACTTGTTTTCAGACAAAATGATATTTTAGAACCCACACTTATATATGTGACTGATTATGGTCTGTCTACATTTGTTGGTTGGAGCACAGCAGAACGGCAAGATGTGATTCAATTAGATCTGCCTTCTCCTCTCTATGGGGCATTGCAGGGAGCCAAACTTTAAGCAGTTTGCAAGTGCCAGGAACTGGAAGTTCTCATTTAAAGGAAGCTACAATTCCTTTTGGAAGTAGGTAGAGCATATACAATAAAGAAAAATATAACATAAGCTACACTGTATCAGAGTCAAACTCAGTCTACCTAGGCTTTCTAGATAAAACTGTGACCCAGTTCTAGGGCAGCTTAAATATAACTTTAAGAAATGGGTATTGAGATCCAGAAGGATTGAGACTTAGCTCTTCTTAAAGTCTGTTGGATTTGTCATATTTCATCAGACATATCCATGCTTTCCCCCACAATCAGAGGGAGATTATCAAGCCTGGAAATAAAAAAATTGGCTAACTACAATTTTTGTTGGTATGTAAGCTTGTGTGCAAATAGGATCTTATGTCAGCAACATAAATATGTATTTTTAAGTTGTCTTTTAAATAGAATTCTGCGTTTAGAAAGGATCTAGCCTAGGTAATGTGGCAAGACCCCCATCTCTACAAAAAAATAAAAATACAAAACATTAGCCAAGCATAGTGGTGTGCACCTGTGGTCCCAGCCACTCAGGAGGTTGAGGTGGGAGAATCAGTTGAGCCCAGGGAAGCAGAGGCTGCAGTGAGCTGTGATCACACCACTGTACCCTGGATAACAGAGTAAGACTCTGTCTCAAAAAAAAAAAAAAAATCTAAAAAAGGGAATAATGGTTTTCAGCCCAAGACTTGGTTATGTGTTGGTGAGGGTTGGGATACTCTATGTTGAGTACTCTTAGGAGACACATAACTCCGGAGTTTAACGGTTAAGGCCGAAGTCAGTTCCTTTTTCCCTTTTAGCTGCTCAATTTTTTTATATTGAGTGACATGGGGTTTAAAGAATAGTGAGAAATCATCATGGAGACATTGGGCTTTGAGTCAAGTGTACCTCCTTTAGCACAACTGACTCAAAGCTCATTTCCTAAATCTCACCTAAATCTCCTTGAGATTTTAACTAGTAAAGAAGTGAGGGTCTGGAGAGGGTGGAGGTGGAGAACTGAGACAAAAGCATAGCCAGGTGTCAGGTGGGGAGGCAGATTTGAGAATGGCTGTGTGTGTCATGTGGCTGGAACTGTGCATGTGGAGGGAAATAATGGAGATGGCAAGGGTCATTTTATACAAGGATTTGATCTCAGCTGGAGAGTTTTGACTGTGAGACCCCCCTCAGAGGGAGTTTTGTCTCTGAGACTCCCCTCTTGTGAGACCCCACCAAATCTATTTTTCAGGCTGTAGGCAAACATCATCTTTATAAAACAAATAACAACAGATCACTCCCCTGCTTCAGATCCTCTAGTCACTTCCCATTGCACTAAAGAAAAAATGGGAATTTTCTTATATGACCAACAGGCCTGGCCCATGACTACCACCATAACCTTGGCAGGTGACATTCTGCTTCCCCATGCTTGCACTTGAGCCCACTGATGTATTTAAAGCTGGGAATGCAACACCCAGGACCTTCCTATAAGTTATGACCTCTGGAATGCTCTTTCTCTAACTCTTCATCTGGCAAACTCTTTGTCATCCTTCAAATCCCATCTTAAATTGAGAAATTTCAGTCTAAATTCTGTCTTCCTAGTTTTCTCTGTCAACATCCAGTACTGTTCCTTCATTGTACTCATAATATGTAATCACATAGCTACTTATGGGATTAACTGTCTAAATCTGTCTACACTCTGAGAGCAGGAACCTTATCTGTTTTGACTACTGTTGTAACCAGCACTTAACACACACTTGGTACATAGTAGGAGTACAATAAAGAGTTGTATAAATAAACCATTGATAGGAAGAAAACCAATCTCATTAGTGAAGGCAAGATAAAATAGAGACTTTTGCCAGAGTTGCAGAAGTGAAACAAAAAACAAAACCCTCAACCCTTTATATTTTATTGCTTGTTTTACTGATATTGTCAGCTTATTCTAAACAAAGCCATACTTTTCCTGTCAGACAATTTCTTCTGGAAAAGGTTCTAATGGTAATAACCTTGTGAATGTGTGGGAATGGATGCGTTATTCAGAAGGGTAGGTGTTCTTTATTATAGAGAGTGTCACTTTGTAAGAATTGATTCCTCTTTCAGCCTATTGAATAAAGCCAATCTCAAATCATATTATAAAACTTTTTGAAAAGTAGAAGGGAAACTGTCATTCTTTTTCTTTGTAACATTGTTGTATTGTCTTGGTTATTTTCTTTTGTCAAGATGACTAGACTTATTGGAGGAGTCTGCAAAGGCATATTATATTAAGAGTAAGGAATATTCCATTCTCAAGTGTGCTTAAAAAACTAGTAACACTGCCACTTTAATTCTGTAGACCCTGAAGATGTTGTAATGTGTACAATAAGCCATTGTGGGGAAAGAAAGAGACTCAACTACAATGAAGAAATATGGGCAATACAGTGCTATATTTATAAATTTGCTAAGCCCAATGCAGTCTTCTTAGAAAATTGCTTTTTAAAATTGTGCAAAATAAAATGCCCAATGGTGTTCTTGTCAATCTTCAAATGTTCTGTAGATACACCTGCTTGTGATGGAGGGAGTTGTCTAAAGTACATACTGAGTGCCTCTCCAATCATTGTAATGCCTTTAAAATGTCTTGTATTTATATTTTCTCCCACTAAGTGCTGCACTAATTGATACTCAATAACTATTTATTGGTTGATTAAAATATGCTTGTGTTTAAAATGGGCAGAAATGCTTAAATTTACTATTAACTATTTCCTGGGTATACCTTATTCTATTAGTGTTAAATTTGCATTAAAATATATTCTTGGCCGGGCGCGGTGGCTCAAGCCTGTAATCCCAGCACTTTGGGTGGCCGAGGCGGGTGGATCACGAGGTCAACAGATCGAGACCATCCTGGTCAACATGGTGAAACCCCGTCTCTACTAAAAATTACAAAAAATTAGCTGGGCATGGTGGCGCGTGCCTGTAATCCCAGCTACTCAGGAGGCTGAGGCAGGAGAATTGCCTGAACCCAGGGGGTGGAGGTTGCGGTGAGCCGAGATCGCGCCATTGCACTCCAGCCTGGGTAACAAGAGCGAAACTCCGTCTCAAAAAAAAAAATATATATATATATATATATATTCTTGATGTAGCCCTTAGCAAAATTGATTTATTAAAGATGAGAATCAAAGATAACAAAATTATGGACAATATGTGGCATTCTACCTTCCCCCTCAATCTGAAATACCAACCTAAGTCATTGAGATTTATTCCAAGTAGGCAGAAATATATGTATTCTATTCTGAAAATAAACTAGGGAAAATATTAATATAATATCTAGATTTATGTAATAATATGTTCATGCAATTTTAGTAATTTAATGAAAAAGTATGTTTATTTTAGCATATTTCAATAATAAATTCATTGTGTCCTTGGGTTATTTCTTTTCAAAACAACAAGTTACAACTTTCTGATTAAAAGAGAATTGTAATTTATACTTTTATAAATATGGACGTGAATATTTTAAAACTAATCATAATTTAATAGTGTTAAACAGTAAGGGACTATATAATTTGCTTTCTTCTGATGAATAGTGATGAAAATTAAATTTGTCAGCATCTATATTATGTAATATTTGTATTTTTACTTTATGTTATTTTATACATACAGAAGGAAATGAAAAGGAAAATAATGCTGAGTCACTAGCAAAAGGGTATTGAACAACTGCTATATTGCTTTCCTACATTCTAGAATATTTCTCCTTACTTAGTCTCTTCTGTAAATCCTGGTCTTAAACTTCTGACTGCCTCTCTCTCTTTTAAAAACTTTCTTTTTTGGATACTGTTTTTCTCCATTTAAGATTTGAATGATTAATCAATAGAGCCAGATTAGTTTATCAACAGGCAAGTTGAACCTCTCTTTTATTCCAGTACTTACTCCATAAAAAATTCCATTGAGATCTTGTCTTTCTTAATTTTTTTCCATCTGAGTCAATTCAGACTGAATTCTTAGTTGATGTACTTTTTTTGAAAATTTTCTTTAGAGCAATCTTTTTAACTTTTGCTACAAGAGGAAAACAACCTCTAATTCAAATTACTCTCATGAGACTAAATCTAGTTATATTCCAATGCTTAGTGTATTAGACCATTTTTATGCTGCTGATGAAGACATAGTTGAGACTGAGCAATTTACAAAAGAAAGAAGTTTACTGGACTTACAGTTCCACATCGCTGGGGAGGCCTCACAATCATGGTGGAAGGAGGAGCAAGTCACATCTTACATGGATAGCAGCAGGCAAAGACAGAGCTTGTGTAGGGAACTCCTGTTTTTTTTTTGAGACCGAGTTTCGCTCTTGTTACCCAGACTGGAGTGCAATGGCGCGATCTCGGCTCACCATAACCTCCGCCCACTGGGTTCAGGCAATTCTCCTGCCTCAGCCTCCTGAGTAGCTGGGATTACAGGCACGCGTCACCATGCCTAGCTAATTTTTTGTAATTTTTAGTAGAGACGGGGTTTCACCATGTTGACCAGGATGGTCTCGATCTGTTGACCTCGTGATCCACCCGCCTCGGCCTCCCAAAGTGCTGGTATTACAGGCTTGAGCCACCGCACCCAGCCGAGAAATCCTGTTTTTAAAACCATCAGATCTTGTAAGACTCATTCACTATCATGAGAACACTGCAGGAATGATCTGC